TTTTAACACACAAGTCCCGACCGACGAGGAAGCGGGAGAGGGGTGTGTGCCTTGCCCTTTCCAGACGCGGATCCCTGGAAGACGACGCCTACACGCTGTGATTCGCCCGAGGCCGGTTGTTCCAGCCCACCAGTGGGCATAAATTGCTCCGCATCACATTGGGGCATTTCATGGGGCGAAAATCTAGCTAGCAGCTAAATTGTCATTCGAGGTTATTGGAATGTTAAAATCGTTTTTCTTATTCAATCACACATCAAAATTGCAGCCAGACAAAATACCGTTCATCAAGTTATCAAATCCAATACACCTATCTTTGTAGTTACGGGTGAGTCCTTCAGACCAATCCGACAAATTGCTCTTCCATGGTGGTCCATTTGAAATCCTCTCTGTCGGCCATCTCTATGCCCACCATGTTCCTGATGCTAGTCTCTCCGTCTGACAGCCCATTGTTATCCTGGCCATCCAGAACGACGCGCCACTTCCAAAGGGGCGTGAACTGATCGACCTTACGCTCGATTTGATTCTTAACGTGCCGGCCCAAGATAGGCAGGAATTTGAAAGCATGTCCTGAACCACCGGTGCAGGTGAACAAGGACTCCGAGTATCCCGGGACGTAGTCGATTACGTAGTCATTGTCGACACTGTCAGTATACCAACACAGCCGACTTTCCTGGAACCCAAACTCGTTCAGCTCGGGGAAGGCCATTTTTAGTTGCTCTTTGATGAGCGCAAGACCGTATATCGGGACAGTCTCGATGGGATTTTCCGTATACTTGGTCCGAGGAGTCGAGATGCGAAGCCCGGGTTCCGTTGGATGGTCTTGAAAGTTGGTGAACTTGCGACCGCGGAACCCGAACTTGATGCGACCTTCTTTCGTGATGGGCATTCCGTACCCTTGGTAGTAGCTTGATCTCCATTCAGTAAGTTACCCTCGACATTGTGGTTCCAGTAGGTAATGATCGCTTACTCTTCACCTTGTCCCTTTCGGAAAGACCAGGAGGGGAAATTGTCGGGGTGGAACTTTTCATACAAGTCCGTCCTATGCTTGGGTATATCCATGAACATGACTGTACCAGCAGTGGCCTCGACGGTTCGATGAGCCTCGGGAATGATTGACGATGTCCATGGACCAGCTTGGATGGGGCAATTTTTAGAGTCTGGGTTCCGGGACAGGTACTTTATTCGGCCAGGATAATGCGCAACATACCAGCAACGATGACCAGATCGGCCAAGTGAGTTCTTCCGTCTTCTGTTTCGATTCCATTGACTGTTCTGTGCTGGTAAGCTTGGTCGATAATGAGTCTCTTGATCTTTCCTTGAGGATCTCCCAAGATGAACTGGACACCAGCCTGCTCACACAGAAATCGAGCAAAGTTACAAGACTGCGTGCGAGGTTTCCAGTCAGCGTAGCTCAGAATTATCTTTCAGCATTCCTGCAATGCCGGGCGAATATGGATACCTTGTCTGCCAACATGATCCCAGCTTGGATATCCATGAAGCCATTCACGTCTCCGTGATTGATCTTGTCCAGCGCATGCAACTTTCTGACCCATTTATCGTCAATATTGCCCAGGCGTGCTTCATCTGCGACATTGTCCTTTAGAGGAAGTGTCAATTATAAACCAAGAAAACAAGGGAAAAAAATAAGGGAAAGAGTAAAATTATGAGAAAGAGCAAAACCCAAAAAAAAAAAAAGAAGAGAAAAGGTGAAAAAAAGACAAACAAGTAAAAAAAAAAGAGCAATAAGTAAAAAAAAAAAGAGAAATAGTAAAAAAAAGAGAAATAGTAAAAAAAAAGAGAAATAGTTAAAAAAAAATGGAGAGAAATTTTAAAAAAGGTAAAAAAGAAAAAAGAAAGAAAAAGTAAAAGGAAATAGAGAGAAAAAGCTTGGTTTCCCGTATTATATACCTTGACAAACTGCATTCTGCGAAACTCGGGCGCCGTTCTCTCCATCGTGCATAGACTGGCCTCGTAGTATTCATGAAGCCTCTCTCCCTCGCTCAAGAAGCACGACCCGGTAATGAGGAGAAGTTCATCCTGGGTATTGATACCGTCAGGGAGTTGATCGGGGCAGCTATTCTTAATCTGCTTATTCCAATCAAGCCACATATCCCGGGCTTCGATGGCTAGGTTCTGGTAGCTGCATCACAGACATTAAGAACAACATTTCTGACAGTGTATGATTGATGTTTTCGATGTACTCACTCGAGCCTATCTCCATATGCCATTCGGAAAACCTTATTGAGGTCGGACGAGGCGCCATCACATCCATCTGCTGGGTTGTAGTAGTTCTTGTCGAACTGGCAGCGATCAAAGACAGTCACATCGCCATAGCCACTCCGAGCCAACCAAAGTGCAGTGGTAAGCCCAAAGACACCGCCACCAACAATGATGATCTTGGAGTCGGAAGTTACCATTGTGGATCCAATTGCATAGAGTAACTTGAAGTTGAGGGTATGTGTTGATGTGATGCGTGATCAAGTCCTTGGAGGTACTTCTTCAAACGGTGCTTGACGGGATATGACTTTTCTTTGATTGTGTTGTGACTTATCGTATTATCTGGTGAGAGACAGATGGCTAATCTTTATATTCCTCACGATCTATAGTTGATATGTCTACCTGTCATTGCTTCGTTGCCTTTTGCTACTGGGACAATGCTACCATTGGCCGCTTGGATCCTTCCGGTGCTCTAGTTGATGCACCGAGCTCAGCTAGAACCATTGTCCAGTATACTGGCGAGCTACACTATAGGAGTCGGGATCCTCCGAACCATTCTCGAGGCGCTAGTGAAGGATTGAATTTGTATACTGAAAAGCCATTTGATGGAGCCTGAGTATCCATTGGGTGGTACATGGTACATCCCGATTATAGGCCACCCTCGGGTCATCAGTGTATCGTATTCTATTGGCTGCTCGTATTGTTCCGAATTAGCGTCTTTCCCCGCATACTTCTCACATCTCACGGGCGCAATGTTGACCAGGATCAACAAAGGCGTCACTGGAACGTTCCGAGAGACTGCAGTCGATAGTCCCCTAACGCAAACCATGGCTACCCCCACAGCTGAGGTGGTGACCCCCAAGCCTGGGCCCGGGCCTTTCTCCATCTCAGCCATGATCCTTAAGAGAATGGAGTGAGCCGCTCACATCTGGCAACGGCAAGTTTCTAGTTTTCACATTGTCTTGTGGGCCACGATGCTTCCCAACGTTCGATCACCAAGAAACCGGGCCGCGAGGGAACCCCAGCGGATCCGCACGGGGCCCCGGATGATGGTTGCTTGCATCAACTGCAAAGAAAGGAAGCTGAGGGTGAGGGCTACACATCTCCAAGACTAGACGCTGGCTAAGCAATCGATACAGTGCGATAATCAGATCCCAGCATGCGCAAATTGTCAAAGGTTCAATTTGAGTATGTCGCTTATAGAAACTGTGGATCTTGGGGTCTTACCATTACCAGATTGTGCTAATCTGCACAAGCTTGCTTGGTGGAGGATCCCATCACCAAACGACAACAACCGCGGAATTACATCGAAATCTTGGAAAACAGAAATGCCCTACTTGAAGGATTGTTGCAACAAGCTCGTCCAGAATTGACACAAGACCAATTGGCGCATACAGATCTCCCGGATTGTGCGATAGAACGGACGCCAGCCCCCAGCTCCTCCTATCTCCAGTCGGAAGTGGAAGCTGCTAGCCAACCAGACACCACCCAGGCCCTCGACGATGATACCATCATCAATGAACTTGCATCCAAGGTCGGGATGCTCGAGATGAATGTTGCAGGTAGAGAGCCTCACTATCTTGGCTCCTCATCAGCGTTTGCATTCTCGAGGGCGATTGGCTCTTCCCTTCTTCTTCAGGGCTTACAGAAATTACCAGACGGAAACCGACAACAGCCAACGTCTCGACCCCCTCATGAGGACGATTTCAATTTCCTGCCGTGTCTCTTGCCAGACTATGGAGATGGAATAGCACTAAGCAATGCATACTTTCGCAGCATCCATCCTCAATACCCGTTTCTGGACAAGGCGACATTCAAGGTGTGGGAATCAGAAGTACTGAAACCAGATCAAGAATTCTCTAGCCAGAATCCCGATGCATTGTATTTTGTCTACATGGTGAGTGAGATATAGCGGTGAGGTGTATTAATCAATGCTGACAAGGCAGGTTTATGCCGTTGGTGCCCTGCTTGTTCCCCGGTTGGGCTACTCCTCGGAGGTATGATGACTCCTTTGGCGTTTTGCAAAGCTCTGTGCTTACAACACCGGAATAATAGCTACTGTACAAGTCATCCCAGTTATACGTCGATTTCGTGCTACAGAAAGACAATCTATACTCCATACAAGCCTTGTTGTGTAGTGCAATGTATTCTCTGCGTTCTACAACCGGGCCATCACTATGGTAGGCATGCCAACGCCGTCTCTTTGTTCTCCTTTCTTTTTTGTCTTCGTTTTCCAGCAGTAGTAATGACATTATATAGGAAACTTTCTGGTCTCGCTTTGCGGCAATGTATTGAGCTTGGCTATCATCGCAATGCCAAGCGTGTTGGGTCCAGCACAGATCCACTGCAGCTAGAACTGAGAAAGAGAGCTTTTTGGTGTGCTTTTACGATAGACTGTTCTATGGCCATCACTCTCGGGAGACCTTTGGGGATACCTCACCAGGAGATTGATGTTGAGGTAATTGTTGCTATCGTTGTCCAGCGGTGAGAGAAACATCTGACCAATTGAATTTTATCAGTATCCTATTGATGTCAACGAATCTTCAGTCACTTCCCAGGGGGTGATAGAATCTCCTCGGAATTCGTGCAGTGATCCAGCCACCAGCATGTCGGTGGCGATTCATGTTTTCCGGCTACGTCGCCTCTGGGCTGCGATTCACACTTCGCTATTTTCGGATACTGCACTAATACAAACACCCCGTCTCTCCTACGATGCTCAAGTGCAAAAGCTTCGCAGTGAACTTGAGTCCTGGCGCAGCTCAGCTCCACCAGTCGCGAATCAAGATCAGGCCCTTTCACTATTTGGGCAAGAAGACTGGTACGAAGTCAACTACAGCTATTCCCTCTTGCTGCTCCATCGTCGTCAATTGACAAGCAGGAAAAAGGAGATCCCCAACCAGGTAATCCTCGAATGCTTGCAAGCTGCCGAGAATATTTGCTCCCGTTACCGTCGACAATACGTTGGCGGATCTGTTGGATACACATGGGGCGCTATCCATTTCCTCTTCCTTGCTGGCTTGACCTATCTACACTGCCTCTGGATCTCGCCGGCAGCTCGCGCATCAAGGCGGCATGACACCGTGAGCAGTACTTGTACAGACTGCACAATGGTCCTGGTAGTCATGGCCGAGCGTTGGGCCGGAGCATCACCTTACCGAGACATTTTTGAAACACTTTCAAAGAGGACAATGACCATGATGATAAATAGTGATGTGACTCGTTCTGCTGCCGACGGCAGTCTGGGGGGCATGGCGCAGGATCCGTGGGTTTTGACACAGTCGGTGATGGACTTGTCAACCGATTCCATCGGAACAACTTACGAAATCGAACAAACTTGGTGGGCAGCTATATTTGGTGAATCCACAGCTGATAGTCTTTTCTGATGACGCTAATATAGATAACGACTATTCAAATCAGTGTCAATTGGCGATTGACAGCATTTCTTGTCCTTGCTCCAGGACCAAGAAAAGTAAATGATGTGCGTGGGCTGACAGTGAATCGTGAAGCCTGAAATGTTGGAGGCTGGATCCTACTTCGACAGGGCTGTTGGATTAATAAGAGTACTGCCTATAAGACATATAGTCACAATTGGTTGTTGTTTTAGACTACTTGACTGGTGCCATCAAATTTAGATTTAGATTTGTTTTTCGATTCGACTACATCGTAATATTGATTCATCTCCACTGGCAACCGCCCAACGGTTTGTCTCAAATCATGCTAGGGGGCTCAGAGTGAATTGACCTTTGCTGGGGCAAGGGTGACGATCAAGGCACGTATGAGACATGCCAAAGTTAAATGCACACAATAGCGACACGAAAAATTGATGAATTACTTTCTGATAAGAACTACTTGAAAAGTCGCGCGCAGATTCCCACTTTTCGTACTCAATTCAATTGACCTAAACATTAGATGACATTGTGTTCATACGCCAACGTCAGTTTGAAGCCACACTCGATGCCAGTTCGAATATTTGCATCCGCTGAAGTAGTAAAATCATTTCGTGAGTTTGAATCAACGAATCCACGTCATTTCTTTCCCCCGAAATCACTTGGAGCATTGAATTAATGGAATTCAGCCATATTCTGATGTCGACGGCGTGTGGGAAGGAGTGTGTATATTGGACACGATGTCGAATCTCGAGATATAAGGCACCAGGAGCAGCGCATATTTCTCTACCACCTATGATCATCAATATTAAGTACACCGGGGACTTTAGGTCTTTCCTTCTAAGCCATGTAAAAATCTTGGTTGGGTTTTCGACCTGAGATCCCTGATACGCAGATCGACCCGGCAACAGAGCTCTTCCCAAAGACATCGTTACTCCATGTTTGGAGTGTATACTTTGCAGTTGCAGCTCTAAACCCCATTTCCCCTGATTAAGGGTCGCTTGGTGCCGACATATGAGACGACAGAGTTCCCATCATTGACACCTGTCATATGCGTGTCAGCTTCCACCCCTTCATATGGACTTTGACCCATCCTACACAGAGGACGTGGGATATCGGGCACATTTCAAGACATTGTGTCTCTTCCAAATTTCCGTCAACTCCGGTGGTTGTATTTGCCCTTGGTCAGTTCTCAATGATCTCTGTTGTTTCTTGTCAGAAGTTGCGTCGTGACGACCAAGGGTTTAGACTGCAGGCTTCGACTCGTTTAAAGAAGTTTCGATGGTAGACATCCGTACTAGATGAGTACGGTCAAATGAGTTTCACTAGTCTCAAACAGCCATTGGCAAATCATGAGCCGCCCAAGGTTTACAGGAAACCCTTGCACAGTAGAACTTTGTGATTTTCAGTCCAATGTTCATTAGGGATACGGATTTCTTGTTGCTTGGATGCCACTTCTGGATTTCTTTTGCTATTTACCCTTGCGCCCGTCCAATATTTGCGAACTTTTTCCAAGTCCATAGATCTCTCGCAATTTTTCCCGCAATTTGTCAACTCGAACAATGGAACAGCGCACTGATTCAAAATTTGAAGAGAAGGATAGAAGGCGACACTACAAGATAAATTTCTCCTATCCACGAACGACTGAGTACGATCAGGATCTTCTATTCAACAACACAGGAGATAACGCACCGAAATTGTTTCAGCTAGACGAAACGGACATTTGGCCATCCGAGGCATCGGCATATCATGAGTATCACTACGGCACGCCAGAGATTGAACTTTGGGATAGCCTTTGGGCAACAGGCGGAGATAGAACAATCATGGAAAGTCCTGGGCCACGGTTCTCATCTCTACTGTCTGTATCCAAATGGCCAGTACCCCCCAACGCCCGGGGTATGCACGGAAATCCAGAGATACTGAGGACGAGATTGACCACGACCAACCACGCTGATCAGAACTACATTGAATCAATGCAAGCCCCGGTTGGCATGATAGGCCCTCAACTTGTCCCTTCCTCTTTTCCCCAAGAACCTCATTATCAGCCACGCGGGAAGAGGAAGTCATTTGTCAATATGTTCCCAAGACCACCAGCTCAGTTCAATGACATGTCAGAGTCAAACCACAAGGCAAAAGGACCAAAGCTACGGAAAAAGCCACCACATCTTACCTCTGTTCCAGGCCCCCGGGTATCAACGTCAACCTCCAGTTTCAGAGAATGGTTGCACCACAGACATTCGCCGTTACGAAATATCTCAATCGCCTTGAGCGAGCCCAAGTCCGCCCCTCCACAGATGGAGCACTTTTCGTCAGCCTTTGATTCAGACTCGGACACTGAAGATGGCAAGCGCCGTAAATCAAAAAGTCGAAGACGCCACAGTCTACATCACAAAAGAAGCTTCAAAGCATCCGATGTTGAACGAATGGTTTTGAGCGTCAATGCAAAAGAGAATGGTAGTTCTCAGCAAAGTAACAGTTCAAATGGTATCAAGGAAGGCCCATTTCGTCGGACGTGGTCGAGATTTATTCCAAAAGTCTTTACAAGCAAGTCTCAACGATCATAGGGCCAGACCCAGACATCGCGTATGTGGCTATATAGCAATTTGAATGAAAATGGTTCAGAGCATGTGCGCGCTTGGTTCTCTCTTGTACGACCTGCCACCCCCAACTCATCTGGAGTGTTCCAAGGATCCAGTAGAGGAAGAATTATTATCATGGAGATCCAGAGAGTCGGGCTGTTGATTTGAATAAAAACCACAATGAGTCTTCTGTATAATTCAACTGAAAAATCAACCTGCCTCACCCGCGTTGGCTGTTGTAGCACTACTACCAAGTCTCCCTCGAGAGGTCTGTATACAGCTGCACACTCTCATCCCAAATACCAACATGGCACACGATTCTAATTCCTCAGAGTCAAGGGCAGTTTACAGATACTCGGTAAGATTTCGACAAGATTGAAAAAAGGACAGATCAGAGAGGTAAATGTTTCAAGACAACATTTACCCCTAGAACCGTTGAAACAATGCAATCACTTTAACGCAGTGTGTCAGACTGACATAAATTGAGCCCCTTTTGGGTATATTACATAGCTTTCTACCACCTGTTCTCTTTAATATCTAGCTCTACAGGAATTCTTGGGTTTGTGGCTTGCGAGGCTTATAGCTCATAAAACGTGTTTCGCCCCCATCTACACTCAATGTAATAGGCACCTGAAAATGAAACATTGAAACTAGACCGCAGTGATATGGAGTTTCTAGCTGAAAGCTATCCATCCTTGGGTGAGCCGTTGCCTTTACTTTATCTACACAAATACGATCAACCTACAACAAAATTGGAGGAACATGAAATTGGATGGCTGAGCCACGATCAAGCAGTGGATGTTTCACTGCTTTCACGACCAACAAGAGTAAGAACTCCATACACGTGTGGACGTATGCCTCGCCATACATTGCATACCCTTGCTGGCTCAAAATCCCTGGACCCAAGACTCCTTCTAAACGTGCAAATCGCGTCGCAGATACTGAGACACAGCTTTGAGGCAATTGAATCATCGGAAGCCAGGATGTAAGTTAGATATCTTACTTGACCTCAACTCCACGCCCGTCAGACCTCCTTTTTTGGCCAGTGTGTCCTCTCCAATCTGCGCTATTTTATATAATTACCGAGTGAGCGATTCAGACTTGGTAGGAGTGGACCCAGACATTCTTCTCATCCCAATTTTGTATCTTCACGTGAATATCCACGAGTCACTTTCTTACACAACTTTCATTGTGCCTCAGGATGGTGTACACGGATACAAGCACCAATCACTATGAGGCGGTGGACGGTGACCTACTTCCAAGACCACTTGCTGTCAAAAGCAAACAAGACCCGACCTTCACACCGCAGTTTGACTTTGTGAATCTCATACCGGGAATAGCGTATTGCCACGACAATGATGAATCGAGACCATCTTCTCGCGACAGCGTGACAACCGAGCTTTGGGAAGACGACGTCCAGCAAACACAAACGAACGATGCACGGGTGCGTCGAAGGCAGAAGTTGGAGGGGACTCATGAATATTTGAAGATTTGGGAAACCTTTTCCGGAGTTCACCAAGCAGAATGGGACACTATAGACCCCAATACTGAACTCTTCGAAGAACCATTTACATCGAACCATGATGTGCCAGCGTTGACCCTGGGGCCTGTACAGCCAATGCCCACCATCGAAGGACTTGCCAAAGATCTCGAGTTGACGATGGAGTGTCCTAGTGAAGCTATTCACAAGAGTCATGGACGGGGAAAGCCAAGTCAATATACCATATTCCCCAAACAGCCAACGTCTACACATATGGCACCGCCAACAAAATCTACCGTCGCACCTCAAACTTTTCCAGATCCACCAGATTTGCCACCACGGCGTCTGAATGGGAGAACCAAATCTTACCCCAACATCGCATCAAAACTAATGGTCACCGACGTCCCGCCAGTCACACCACTATCAATCGCCGCCACATCACTTGAGACATGGGAACAACCTAGGACTCCTCCAGTCCCTAAACGACGCTCACTGTTGCCACTGGGAGGGTCAAAGTCAAATTCCGAAATGAGAAGAGCAGCTCGGCAACAACGCGCTTCCTACTGTCCTCCCACAACGATGGCACGCACAGCATCGAGGTCGGAGCATACTCTACCGCTGCCGTTGGAGGTGGACCACATCACTTCCGTCTTTGAGTCCGACTCGGACACGGAGAATGGGGACTACCAGAGCATGTTCCAAAATCACATGCGCAAATTGCGCACCAAGATGGCGCGCAGGAAGAGCCACTATGGAGAAGAAGACACCAAAAAGGACAGGAGCAGTTATGGTAGTGAGAATACTGTGCCGGTTCTCAAGTTTAGCGTGGCGAACGTGGCCGCGGATAAATCCGCGTTCAAACGCAAACGCAGCAGTCTTGATTTCGAGGACTTGTGGTATAAAAGCAAAAGAAGAATAACAAGTATAATAGTGTTGTATAAAAGATCAGAAAGGTAGTCCTAATATCAATACTTTCATAATGCTGATTAGTTGTCCTTTGCACAGGAAGAAATGCGAGACTGTAGTAAATAGCCTGGCCTTGCATGCTACCAAACTCTAGGACAACTCGGGCCTATAGGCCGGGCAAATGATTGCTCTTGGCAAGGTCGCCTGGTAGGAACACCACGGAATTTGAGACGTGTGGTCATCACTCTTCTGTGAGAATACACGGCGATTTCATATATTTGACACGACAACGCCGAGGAGTAAGATTTCCAAGACACATGAGAAGCCGGAAGCATGGAACCTCCACCATGTTCGAAATGTTTCCTTCCACAATACGTCAATGAACCTTCTGATCAGGTGGGACAGGATAAGTTTGCTCAGCTCGAAATTGATCTTGAACATTGTGTTGGTAGAGCTGGAACCCCTGCGGTGATCTCAAGATGTCCTGAATGGCCTGCTGAGGTCCACGTACATTTCACGAGGGCCACGATGTAAATCTTGCACAAGGCATCGAATATCACGATGTTGACCTGTAACGTCGGTGAACAGAGTTGTATGTTGTTGTAAATGGTGCGATCAACCTAGTCGAAGAAGATTAGGATACCCTCTGCATCTTCCTAGCACTGCAGCATTGGAAGCAGAGCTCTGCTGGGGGGTTATTGAATGTCAATCTTGTTTTGGACAGAGGGCTCGTGTCTCCTGGATTGTTTATATCTCGCTTGAGGGGGCTCTTGGTAAAAAAATTATGGTGGAGTCATGTGTGATTTTGTTGGACGCAGTACATTGCTGCGAGCAAGCCCTTCCTGCTGATGAGCATTGCCAAGTTGTTTGTTCCCTGTCCCGAACTACCGACGGACATTCCTAGAGCAAATGCACACCCAGCCCAAATATTGAAGCGAGGAGCTCATTCTATGTTGGTATAAAGTGTAGACGCCAAACTCCTTCAAAGATCTTTTCCTAGCCTCAAATTCAAATCATGCCTCCAAAACGCCGATAAATGCTTCTGACTTCATGGTGTCATTCATCTGACCAAGAAATGGCATATCAGCCATCAAGAAGGAACGGAACGGCCAATTTAGGCTGCCTGCCTCGCCTTCTTGGCCTTTAACTTCTTGCCAATCTTTTCATACTTCTTTGCCCTCTTCTCCATCTTCTTGGCCAATGCCTTGGCCTCAGCCTTTTCTTGGGCAGCCCGCGCATCGACGGCGACCTCTGCTTCCGAGTCATCAGCGCTAGAATCCGAGTCGTCTTCATCTTTCTTGTCTGTCTCCTCTGGCTCTGCCTCGGCCTTGCGCTTGCCTCCGAGTTGGGCAGCCTTGATCGCGGCTCTGGCGCGCTCCTTGGCAATCATCTCGCTAAGCTTTGTGTTGACCTCCTTGTTGTCGGCCAGGTCAGCCCTGATGAAACGAATAGCTGCTTCCTTGTTGAGAGACTGGTCTGGCTTGGGCGGCGGGTTTTCAATGTTCTTGATCTTTTCAAAGTACTGTCGGATCCGCGTCAACTCTGTAAAGACGGCATGCTCTTTCGCATTCACGCCATTGAGTCGTAGAGATGCTGAGATACGTATTAGCTTTCGATCTGGACTAGGAGATGTAACGTGGAGGTAGCCTACAGAATAGCATCGACTCCAGCGCATATGCCACAAGGACATAGAGCTTGGACTTGTCTAGCAAAGGTAGCTTGGAGGCTACCTCGGGTAGACTGCCCAGTAGAGGCTCTAGGACTTCTTCAAGGTTGTCGATTTCGCCGTCGAGGCGCTCGAGCTGGGGTAGAATATCTGTGACATCCATCTTGGCCCTCGGTGCCGGCGAATGTGGTGGGCTAGGTCTTTGCGCTCGAACCGCTCGTCGCGATGATGGCAGTGATGGGTCTTTGGAGGCAACGGGTGCCGGGAAAAAAATGGCGGTAATTAGTGGCAGAATGCTTGGATGGATGCAGCACTGAGTGGTTTGCTGGCAGCGCTGCGTTACCTTAGCTCTTAGCTTTTAGGCCGATAACGCGCGAGAAAGGCCTGAAATCGCGTGTCCAATCAAACACAACGGATTTGCCTTGAGTAGTAGTGGGTCTTCAGTCTCTGGCTACTGCAGATCCCTGGACTTCGGTTCATGTTTAGTTGTGAAAAAATGTCGCCGTCATGAAAGGACTGCAGTCCTTCACATTGAACAACCATTGAACTGCTCATTGACCACCGGAAGACCGTCACTTTGCCTCTGTATTACTTTTACTTGTATCATTCAGACCTTTCAGCATTCTTTTTCTCCGGTCCGGCGTACGGTTTCTTGTTTTCCGCCCAATGGTTGCAGTTGTGCGGCTTCGGTAACCTCTTTGGCTGTCGCGCAGCACGCGTTCCCTTCTCTCATGCTCAAGCTATGAGATTCTCCCAGTGATCCCACGGCAATCCTCCAATCTGTCTTCACTTACTCTCCGACAGCCGCTTTCGCGGGCTTCTGCGCGAATACCTCACAGACACACAGCATGGCGCCGCGATAGCATCTTGGCGGGCCGGGGGGCCACCAAGCAACCACTCTCGGCTGTGGCCGCCTCTTCCTCAGAGGTCTTTCATCTCGACCCTCCCCTCTACTTTCCTCCGACGCTTCAGACTCGATCAAACAATGCAAGGCTGAGTGTACCTTTCTACAGGCCCCCACCGCCAGTACCGACATATTTGCCACACGAAGAGCGGCCAGAGCCTGCCCCTTCCAAGACCGCGGCGAGCATGACCTTGCCAGAGTATGGCAAGGAGGAGTCCGAAGAGGCTCTGGCGTCACTTCGACTGTCAGAAAAGATTCACATAATGGGATTCACGCGCGAAGCGAGATACATTACACATTGCCTCGCTGGGACCCCTGAGCTGCCACCGCCACAATTATTGGCGCATCAACGTGTCTTTGTCAACTCATGGGGCACAAGCCGGCGCAAGTTGACTGTGAGCAGCAGAGATGGCGGTCATGCCGACAATGAAATACTCATTCCTCAGTATATTGGAAAGTCTAGGAACCCGTGGCGCCCTGAACTCGAAATGCCCAGGCTCAAACATATCGACAACTTGATAATCAGCACCGCTGATAATGCCATCATTCCCGCGCTCATGAGAATTCGCGACAGCATCAACCAGGATACTACGATCTGTGTGATTACTCCTGGTCTAGGAATCGTTGAGTACTTGAACAAAGTCATATTTGAGGACCCGTCAACACGGCCAAACTTCATTCTCGGATACTCGAGTCATTCTCTCCAGAATGATCCCAGAAACCCCAAGGACCCATATTCCCTAAGAATCCGAAAGCGTGGCAGGCTATTGCTATCTGGGCTCTCCTTTCCATCGGAAACAGAATCTGGTACCAGTGAAGTGGCAACGTGGGAACGTGTTGCGCGCCGCGCTCGAACCCAGCACTTTCTCAAGCTCTTGGCCACGGTACCTGGTCTCGACACCACCAACTTGCCAATGGCAAAACTACTCCGTTATAAGCTACCACCCATGATATTCTCGTCCATTGCAGATGCGATATCGGTCGCTCTCGGGTTTCCCTATGAACGCCTCGTCAATGACAGATATGCGCAGCGGCTGTGGCGGGAACTTTGGGAAGAGACAATTGAAATCATTTCGGCATTACCAGAACTCAAATCGTCGCCCGAGGTTCTTTCCTATTTTACGGGGCACAACTTTGCCACAGAAGTCAATCGATACTTGCGTGCACAGCGAGGCCCGAGTCCGTGGGCAAAAATGGTTAGAAATGGACTGCCACTTCCGATACAGGGCTTAAACGGCTGGTTTGTGAAAAAGGCAGAGGAACTTGGACTCAGCTCTGTTCATCACAGAGTCATGATGAATATGATTCGAGCGAAAGAAGCAACTCGGAAAGAAGAGCTCAAGTCAGATATTCCCCTGTACCGGTCATCGTACATGCTGGATACGGATTATCTAGAAAACGATGAAGAAGTGCCACGGCAACTCGTGCACGTTGTATATACCAACAAATAGACCAAGCAAGGTGATCCTATTGTATAGATAGAGAGGGTCACTTTTGCGATGTATCATCTTCTGCAATATAATGTACTTCATGACAGCACAGTCTTGGACTGAGATGTCTTGTTAATTCATGCCCTGTGTAAATGTCGAGTACATTGGTTGTAGTAAAATACCACTGATATCTTATAAAATCCTGTGACCAGGTTTTATAACGAGAGGATGTATGGGGATAAACGCGTTTCTAAATCCGGGTGACAACTGGGAACCTGGTTCTGCTTTCCGGGATCTTATGCCTGTCCAAGTGCCAGGCTCTTATCATAAAATGACCCCGCCATATTTTTCCAGGTCCCCATCATCGTGGTTAGGCAAGTTGAACCCCACACAATTCGCAGCCTACTCAGTATACGTCTTTCATACCTAAACGTCACACATTTCACACAATACAGTGACCATGGCTGACGCAGAACTCGACGCTGTAAGTAGGCAGATATGAAGACAATTAACCAGAGACAACAGCTAATGCCTTCTTGTCTCGCAGATTCGCAAAGCTCGTCTTGAGCAGCTCAAGGCGCAAGGTGGGGCATCTGGCGCCGGCAGCGCTGGAAGCGCGGGCGGAGGTCAGGGACAGAACCAGGAGGCGCAACAGCAGTACGTGGTCGATCATGTCTATCTTTTTAATAGCCAGCATCCCACGGTGTCTTGAGATATCCCAAAGCTAACTCTACATTCCTCAAAACAGAGCAGAGTCCGAAGCACGCAGCCACATCCTGAACCAGATCCTGCATCCCGAGGCGGCCGACCGTTTGGGCCGCATCCGGCTCGTCAGGGAGGACCGCGCCACCGACGTCGAGAACCGGCTGATTATGCTCGCCCGGAGTGGACAGCTGCGCCAAAAAGTCACCGAAGAGCAGCTCAAGGAGTTGCTCGAGGCTGTTGCCGAGACCTCGCGCGAAAAGGAGAAGATTGTCGTGACCCGAAGGAAGGGCTGGGAGGATGAGGACGATGACGACTTTTTCGACTAAACAATCTTGCAGCGAGTGGTTCTCGGACGACTGGAGATGCTGTTTTACGATGTGAATGGCGATGCACCGTCGTCTCAATCGATCAAGCGCCTCAGACATCGACCAGCCCGAACGATTCGAGTGAAGGAAAAGAAAAGAAAAAAAGGAGATGAAAGTTTGAGCGCTGAACAATCAATCGTGACAGCAAGGCATGGCATATGGCGTTGTTTTCCTATAACAAAAGAACAAGGGGTCTAATTTTGGTATTCCCGTTCTTAATACTACATGATTTACAGCTATTACACAGCTTTTGGTTCTATATGACGACGTCCCCCGATACCTCGATTGCTTGGAGCCGACTATTGCAGCATCAAATTTACGCAGCATTCGCGACATCACCCATGGCCTTTCCTGCCTCTTTTCTCCTCTTGCGGTCTTCCTTTTCCTTCTTGCGGGTTTCTCTCAGATCAGGCGGCCTTTCAATGCCGAGGCGTTTTCTCAGAGCCTCGCAGTCCGTCTCCATTTCTTCTTCCCAGTATATGTTGATGACCTCTTGACTTCTCATGCCGTTTCGCAGCGCCCAGGGACCGTACACCTCCCAAAACCTCTTTCGCTCACTCGGCTTCATGGTGCCGACGGCCAGGCAGGCAAAGCCCGTCATGGGCAGCAGGGTGTTGGCAAACTCAAAGGCCTTGAGGGCAACCTCGCCCTCACGAACGATGGGCAGGCCCGTGAGTGCGTGGTAGAAATCGTGCGACTCGCGGTACCGCTGCATAACGTAGGCACACTCCTCGTCGTCAATGTAGCGCACGTCGGCGCGGGTATCCGGGCTGACGCCCTCGCGGTCCAGCCACGCCACGTAGTTGCCGCCCACCGTGGTCGGCGGCAGCGTCCGCAGGTACGGCAGGTCGAGGGACTGCGATGTGATGCGCGGCCGGTCGCGCAGGATGCGTCGTCCCGTCGGGTCCGATAGCATGGCCCGTCGTAGCCGATAAATAAAGTAGGGTGTTGCGGTCGTCTCGCCGCAAGTCGCGATTAGGTCTGCTCGATATGGGTTTATGAGCGAGCCGATGCCGGAGCCCAGGGCCAGAGCGAAGCGCTCGACTTTGGTGAGCGGGACATGGCCGGGATAACTTGGTGCTGGCCGGTTCAGTACAGAGAAGAATGCTGTCTCTTGATGTTGTAGCTGCGATTGTCTTACCGGCACACGGCCAGACTCTTGTAAGTGGGATGTTGACGTCGCGGCGGTAGGGAGTATTGACGTTGACCGGGGACTCGGTCGGCGCAGGACCGCCCGTAGAGGTTGAGTTGACGCCTTCATGATACCCGCGCGCTACTGAATTCGAGCATCCGAATCACTGCAACTTCTCCCGTCAATCTCTCAAAGTGATATTGCAGTGATTAGCTCCGTCATACGAGCATCACCAGAGAGCTCTTAGAAAGTTGCGATAACGATAGTGCACTAAACCGTAGGGGTCCAGACTTCCATATGCATCTAAACGCTGCGCGAGATCCCGGCACCTCGGGGACGGTGGAGTGCTTTGAGTGCCCTGAGCTGACCTCACGTGGCCCTGTAATTGGCCACTGGCTGCTTTTTAGCGTTTGGCTGCTAGAGCTTTCTGGTTGCTTTTCCATGGGAATCTCCGTCTCGGTCAACAATTTGCCTACGCCGGCGGGATCTAGTTATTGGCCTTAAAGCCGAACTTGTTTTCTGCCAACGTTTTCTACATTTCACAACAACCACGTCTCTGCATCTCACCTCTGCCGTCGTCTTTAACGCAAGTCACAACCACACACACACACATTCACAAAATGCCTCGCCAAAGATCCGCCGGCCGTCCTGCCCCCGCCCGCCCTACTGTGGCTCCCCGCGCTGCTCCCGCTCCCCAGGCGCAACAGACCCGGCCCGCGGCTACATATGCTCCTGCTCAGGCTCCTCCTCAGCAGCATGCTGCCCCGGCTCCTGCCCAGTCGCAGGGCCCCGGTCTCTTTGGTCAGATGGCCAGCACTGCTGCGTAAGTGATTTGATTCTTTCCGGCGCATGAGGAACTTGAGATTGCGCAGACTGGGGAATGTACGCGATGGATATATGTTCGCTCCCCGGAAAACGCTACAATCCCTGGCCTAAAGATGTATTCTTGACTATATCGCGGCACTGCTAACGTGGTTCTTCTCAACAGCGGTGTAGCAGTCGGTTCCTCAATCGGCCACGCCATTGGTGGCTTCTTCTCCGGCGGTTCCTCTGCTCCCGAGGCCGCCGCGCCGGTCCAGTCCCAGCAGACCAACAACAGCGAATGGGGCAACAACTGCGCCGGTGCCACCCAGAGCTTCACAAAGTGCATGGACGACCACTCGGGCAACATGCAGATCTGCGGCTGGTACCTTGAGCAGCTCAAGGCCTGCCAGGCTGCTGCTACCCAGTACACCTCGTAAGGTCGAGTCAGTATCTACAGGCTGCGGCTTTTGCGCATTGTCTCTGGCATGATGTGTCGTACCGGTAGCCTGAACTGGTATAGGCACTAGACATGGCGACTGGTATTATCAATCACGGGCTTGTGCTGTTTTCTACTATAGTAGCATTTGACTTGAAGCATGGCATGGCTTGAAGGGTCATTTTATGTAAACTCTATCATTACACAATGCTTGGCCAACTCGGGGCTACAAAAGCCGTAATGAATGGACTGGAGGAATTTAAGTGAAAGGAATCCCTCCTCTTGTACAACAGAAAGGAAAAAGGGCTAAAAAAAAATCAATATACCCAAAACTACGCATTTGCCACGTAGTTTCAGTTTTGCTGACTCGGCGCCAAACCATGCTCGTAATGTGCTCAAGTGATACCATTCACGCCAATATATCTCATGTATTAATGTTATATTAGTATCCATGCATCATCGCCGTTGATAATATAATATGTCAAGTTTCCATGCTATAGCTTTAATGCTCTTCTTGGTTGTCTTCATCATTTCTGGGCTCAAAATTCAACTGCCAAAAATTAGTCTAGCCCCATAATATACGAAGAAGCGTGTCACTTACTGAATTACCATTGTATAATTGCTGATCGCGCCTCCGGTCGTCCGGGTTTTGGAAGCCTCTGATCCTCTGGTCCTGCCCGCGTGCTGTCGAGTCCTGACCGTTGAGGTTATCCATGGCAACGCCTTGCCTGGTCTCGTCGGGGTGTGATCGTCCGGCGCCAACAAATGTCAATGGAAAGGCTATAATCATGGAGAGCAGTGCATATAGACCCGACCAAGCACGGAACAGCACGCCACCAGTCTGTTGGAATGCCGTCGCTACCCTCACCCGGGGAACCAATACGATCGTCGCCGAGGGAGAGAGTCCTAGATCTCCAAGACTGTCTGCCTCTTCGGCCGGCTCGACTGCCTTGTTGGGTAGTGGCGTCAAAACGATCCGGAACGTATACGGCTCGTCGCTGTCTGTCCGATTCTCATCAATCCATTCTCTAACCTCCTTGCCCAACTTTGCATCAGTGGGAAAGCGATTCCGGATAGTCGAGCCATCGAGCAGACGAATTTGAAGACTGCAGTGGGTCCCAAAGCTACGGGCCGGAAGCGGAATTTCTTCGATATGCTGAGGCTTTACTGAAGCGCCGTCGTCCTCTGCTGCCGCCAGAAGCAGCCGGGCCTGCCGCTCCTGGGCCTCGCGCTCCCGCCTCTCGCGCTTGTCGTCCTCAATGCGTCGGAGGATGCGCTGACGCTCGTCGCGCTCGTCCTGCTTCTTCTTGCGCAGCAGATTGGCATACTTGCTCTCGGCGGCCTTGATCTTGGAACTCTCGGCGGCGTCTTCCCCTTGTTCGGCGGCGCGGCGCTCCTCGGCGCGCTTCTTGGCTTCGGCCTTGGCTGCTTGCTCCTTGGCCTTCTTATCGGCTTCCAGACGGGCGGCGCGCTCGACTAGGAGTGCTTGTACCTGAGGCGAGGCCAGAGATTCCTGATCGGGGCTATTACTTTCGCCCGCCGTGGTCACCTGTTGCGGTGCTGATTGTGGTGCTTGAGCACTGGATCCCGCGAGCGTCCGGTTTACTCTGCGCAAAAACTCCTCCCTTGTCGTACCTGCTGCAATATACTCCTTGAGTTGACCATTTCTATCATGATGTAAGTAAATTGTGATCCAGCGTAGTCACGACAAAACGTGTCCCCAAGATGACACATACTCAATGATGACGACGGTGGGCTTTCGCGGCACTGGGAATAGCGCCTCGAGGTACCCCGCCTCTGTTGACCCAGCCTGCAACCGCAAGGTCACGGCATGCGTTTGGAGGTGTGTTTTGACCGTGTCCTCGGTGAGAAATTCAGTCTCCCATTGCTGGCTCTCCTCTTCGCCATCTGCCAAGGCTGTGTTAGCTGATCGTGCTCATGTCCCTGTTAAGCTATGCTGGAGAAGGGGGATGCGTTTCCCTACCTGTAACAAAGCATACGACTTGCTTTGACTGCTGGAGAGCGGTAGAGATGCCCTCTTCCAAAGTCCCTGCAAAGAACATCTTTTCAAACGTGACTTCTTTTGGGAGATATGATATTATTCCCGGGGTCTGTTAATGATGAGCTGGCAGCTTTGAGGGTGTCTTGTTTAGATGTTTGGTAAGCACCTTGCAGTCTGTCAGGGATCCCTGCAGGGTGTTACCACGGCCCACGGGGGTAGCGCTTGGGTAGTGCCAACCTAGGGGCTACCTTAGCCGCTGGCAGCTTCAAAGTAAGGTACAAGACAAAATCTCAAAAATCAGTCAGTGCAACTCAATCTTGTGGGAAAAGTTATTGACTTGATTCATGCGGCCTGCACATTAATACGCACATGCAGTGGGCGCTATCAATCTGGCTGACGAGGAGTTTTGCTGCATCTCACGTGGTTATATCGTGGCAATCTGCTAGAGAGATTCCTCTTAGCACTCTCTAAATTTTGTGTATAAGGATGACTACTAGGTATACGAGTTATACATGTCCACATGTAGGCAGGTGTACGAGCGTTGTGGTATTCCTACAGGCATATGTCGGTAGTTTGTAATCACCCCAATCTGCAATTCCAGCTGTGGCAAGCTGTCGCCCGACAAGGGGGAAAGAAGCATGACGGTGTAAGCAGGCCTTTTCTCGTCCTCGGCTAATATGCTGAATGCGACCACAGTTCTATCCCTCGTTTATGAATTGCAATCGTCGGTAACGCTAGAAAGGACTCAGTGAATGATGGTACTTTGGAGTCAACAGTTCAAGTTATCACGGCCATCGTTGGCGTCCCTGTTCAATGTTGGGCAAGCTCTAGGACCAGGGCGGAAGCTATTCTCTTCCCCTGTGTGAATACAAAATCTCACTACGCTCGCCCAATAAGGCAACCGTGGTGCTCAGCCGCATTGTAGAAAGGCTGAGCAGCCTGCGTCCTCAATGCCCCCGCCTGCAAGATATGATCTCGACAACACATTTCTTCGCCAACAACACGTCCTGAACGTACCAAGTACACGAAGCACGGGCTCCAGTGGCCATTCAAATCGACTCTGACATCGATTCTCTTTTGGCACAAATGGGATGAACATCCACGACCATTTGTAGGCGCATAGCCGACCAAACCCCGCACGATGTTCAGGCGAGATCAAGTGCTTGAATTTGGGCAGACCTCGACCCAGTTCCACGGTTCGGGCATTCAAAACCACAACGGGCGCCTCCATGCTGGCAGAGATATTATCATCAATAGTGCTACCCCGAAGGCTGACGAGAGCCGAGATGACTTGCACAGACAGGAAGTCCTCCGCTCGTTACGATTTGAGCAAATGGGCTCACGCCAACAGAGCATCAAAAGGGCCCATGCGCAAACGTGCCAATGGTTCTTTGAGACCCGAGAATACAAGAGTTGGCTGGACACGAACAAGTCTCAGGAACATGGTGGCTTCTTGTGGATCAAGGGAAAGCCCGGAGTGGGAAAATCAACTTTGATGAAAGTGGCGCTTGATCATACTAGCCAGACTTTTCATGGCGGGGACTCTTGCATCATATCCTTCTTCTTCAATGCTCGGGGCAATGATCTTGAAAGGTCAACGACTGGACTGTACAGGGCGCTATTGTTCCAGCTGCTCAAAGCACGCCCGGATTCCCAGATCGTTCTTGACACTATCGAAGGTGGCCTTCAGTGGAGCATCGAATCGATAAAGCAAACATTTGAGCGAGCCCTGAAGAAGCTTGATCATCAACAACAACTCATTTGCTTCATCGATGCCCTTGACGAGTGTAAAGAACAAGAGATTCGTGAGCTGGTTTCGTGGCTCGACGAGCTAAGCTGTGACCATCCACTTCACGCCTGCCTCGCAACTAGACACTTCCCAAACATTACGATCAGAAAAGGTTTACAGATTAACCTCGAGAGCCGACAAGAGCATATCCAGGATATATGCTGTTACGTGAGGGACAAACTCTATTTCAAAGACGACCGCCGGCTTGCGACTCGAATACGAGTGGAATTGCAGACAAAGGCGTCTGGTATTTTCATGTGGGTTGTTCTTGTAATAGACATGTTGAATAGGGAGTACGACTCGGGACAGAAACATAAAATCCTTGAAAAGATTCGAGAGCTACCCTATGACCTACACGAACTATTTCGAGATATCTTCACACGCGGCCCCGGCCCGAGCCAAGGACTACTTCTTTGTCTTCAGTGGATCTTGTTTGCCAAATACCCCTTGACTCCGAGACAGCTATACCTTGCTATCATCTCTGGAACAGAGCCCAATTACCTCGTCCGGTGTCATTCAAAGGAGATTTCTGATGACGATGTGGAACGCTACATCCTCAATGCCTCCAGAGGTTTGGCAGAGATTACCAAGTCGTGGCGATGGACTGTCCAGTTCGTACATGAATCCATCAAAGACTTTTTGGTCAAAGAAAACGGAATTGGCACAATCTGGGCAGACTTGAAAACAAGCCTTGAGGGCCAAAGTCAGGAAGCTCTCAAGCGTTGCTGTCTGCAGTATCAGACCACTGTGTATGCATTGTTGCGTCAGACCGTCTCTATTGCGCTGTTAAGACGGCTTTTACCTGAAATCGTGGAGCACCGCAAAGTCATCAGCCGGAAATACCCATTCCTGGAATATGCAAATGACGGTGTTTTATTCCATGCAGACCAGGCTGAGAGACACAAAATCAAGCAAGACGCCTTCCTCCGCCAATTCAGTACAGAAGCGTGGTCCAAGTTACAAGACGTCTTCGAAGTTCGTGGGGCACGATGGTATTGGCCCAATGTCAGTCTACTCTATGTCCTGACCAGAAAAGATTACTCGGCACTGATCCGAGCTTCTTCTCTTCATTCCTGTTTCGATGTTGAAGGCGGGCCGTACGGTTCACCGGTCTTCGTGGCGTTGGCAACCAAAAACTTCGCTGCACTCGAATCTCTACTCGAGGTCTTTGTTAAAAGACGGACTTTCGATAATATGTCATGCCGCGATCAAATACAGCTTGTGAGACTCGATTATGACAAAATGGCCAAGAACAACTTCAGGGATTTTGTCTTCTCTCGTACCAGAGGCGTGGTATCTCATCTTGCAGAGTTCGGGTGCAGTGGCATACTGGAAATCTATTTCAGTACCAGTATTTATCTATCTGATCCAGACAGCAAAGATGAAGACGGCTGGACCCCATTGTCATACGCAGCGCGCACTGGTGATGTCGCTACCGTACGACTACTGGTTGACCGCCACGCTTGTGTGAACAACAGAACGGGCAAAGGATGGATGCCACTACATCTGGCTTCGTTAAAAGGACATCTTGAGGCCGCAAAACTATTGATTGACAGGGGGGCCGAGGTGGACATGCCGACGCGTGATGGAAAGACGCCACTGTACTGGGCTCGGAAGAAAAAGAATCTTGATCTCGAGAAGTTATTGATGGGTCACGGTGCTGTTCTGGAACAAGTCGCAATTCACGACGGGACACCGCCATATGAGACTGTCGCGAAAGATGAGCCACCATTGTATGGGACTAGGCCGAAAGCTCCTCTTAAGTTCACGAAGACCTCGATCAATGACGACGCCAAGTTTAGGAATACAACGACTGATAGATCGATGATAATTCATCTTTCGAGGGATCAACTTGAGACAATAAAACTCATTCTCGAAGGGGCGGCCGATGCAAATACACGGTACAATGATGACGGATCAACAATCTTGTGTAGTGTCTCACGGTATGGGTACACGGAGATTGCCAAGCGACTGCTTGATCGCGGTGCCGACATTAATGCAACAGGCAATCAGAAGAAAACACCACTACACTGGTCGATATCGCCATATAGGAATTTGGAAACCGTCAGGCTGCTTCTAGACCGGGGCGCCAATGTCAATGCACTTGGTGATCATACGGAAACACCTCTGCATTTGGCAGCGTGGTATGGGTAC